AGGAGAGAGCCGCGAGTGGGGAGGGGGCGGAGCGCAAAGCCCGAGCTCCGCCGAGGGACGTGAGTCACGTGAGTGACGGCGGGAGGAGGAGGACGAGGACGATGGTGCCGGCCACGAGAGGCACCAGGCCGTGGAGCGAGTCCCGAGCTCCGCCACCCGGGCCCCGCCCCCTGTTCTGCAGCGAGGCCGCTGCACGATACCTCACGTTCCATCCGGGCTGCCGAACTGCAAGCTGGGGTGGTGATGGGGAGGTCGGAGCAGCGAGCTCTCGTTCCCTCTCTCACTCTGTTCGAGTGAGGAACGAGCAGCAGCCACAAGAGCGACTGAGTGAAGAGCTGAAAAGCTTGAGTAAAAAGACTGAAAAGTCTAGTTAGCTGACTGAAGCCACTGAAAGAAAGAAAGGGACCAATGAGGTGGCAAAGAAAGGGACCAATGAGGTGACAGTCAGATAAGTGGGGTAATATGGCAGGTAAGTATGATGCTAGAATAAAAACTGGTTTGAGATGGTAGTTCCAGAGGATGGAGTTGAATGTGATACTATATACCAGTATATTTAGAAGTGCAGTTTTAGAAGCTGGAATATTGTTTATGTATAATAATTAACTGTGTAAGAGAGTAATAGCTTGTGGGAAGAAGCTCCTCTGTAGCCTGGATGTCCTGATCCTCATCTGGCTGAAGCGCTGGCCTGAGGGAAGGAGCTGGAGCAGGTGGTGTCCAGGATGTGACGAGTCAGTGGAGATCTTCTCTGCACGCTTCCTGGTTCTGGAGGCATGCAGTTCCAGCAGTGTGGGCAACTTAACCCCAATTGTCTTCTCTGCAGACCTGATGATGTGCTGCAGTCTGTGGAGGTCATGCTTGGTGGCTGAGCTGCCCCACACTGTGATGGACATGGTGATGACAGACTCTATGATGGCTGTGTAGAACCGCACCATCGGCTCCTGGGGCAGGTGACGCATGAAGTACAGCTGGGCTCTCTTGATGATAGAGCTGATGTTGCTGTCCCACTTCAGGTCCCTGGTGATTGTTTTGCCCAGGAACTTGCAGGACTCTACTGCCACCACAGTTCTGTCCAGGATGGTGAGTGCTGGCAGGGTTGGAGGGCTCCTCCTGAAGTCCACTGTCATCTCCACTGTTTTTTCTGTATTCAGCACCAGGTTGTTGTGGCTGCTCCAAAGGACCACCTGATCAACCACCTGTCTGTAAGCAGACTTGTCACCGTCTCGGATGAGACAAATGACTGTAGTGTCATCTGCATACTTCAGGATTTTGACTGAGAGGTCTGTGAGGTACAGTCGTTGGTGTACAGTGAGAAGAGCAATGGTGAGAGTACACAACCCTGTGGAGCGCCTGTACTTATGATCTGGGTGTAACTTTCCCAACCTCACCTGCTGCTCTCTGCCAGTGAGGAAGTTGGTGAGGACGCTGGAGCAGACTCTTTTGATGTATTTCAGTCAGCACTGTGCTTACTTCTGTTTCGGTTCTGTTCGCAGTGACCTGTCACTGCCAATTACACTTTCATAATGAACCGACAGAATTTGAAACCAAACACAGCTATTGTTGTGTAGCTGTCCTGGGATGATTGTATTAAAGGCTGAGCTGAAGTCCAAGAACAGAATTCTTGCATACGTTCCTGGGTGTTCAAGATGTTGGAGAATAAGATGGAGTCCCATGTTCACTGTGTCGTCTACTGACCTGTTTGACTGGTATGCAAACTGCAAGGGGTCTAGCAGAGGATCTGTGATGTTCTCAGTCTCTCAAAGGATTTCATGACTACAAAGGTCAAAGCAACGTGTCTGTAGTCGTTTAATCCTGTGATCATTGCTTTCTTGGGAACTGGTATTATAGGGGAGCTTTTAGACAGGAAGATATGACACACAGCCTTCAGGGCAGGCTGGATGACAGAAGTGTGTGAATCTGTGCTGAATGGGTGTGTGGAGCTGGGCTTTTCAAACTTGCAGTAAAAGTTGAGCTTAGCAGCTTTTTGCAGCTCTGATTTCTTTGCTGAGTGTGTTTCTTGCCTGATTGTACAGAGCCCAATCTCCACTCCTATACACTGCTTCCTTAGACCGGCGCAACTGTTTCACTCTGCCATTAAACCAGGGATTGTTCTTGTTATATTTGATGCGAGTCCTGCTGGGTACACAGGTGTCTCCACAGAAACTTATGTAGGATGTCACAGTATCCGTATATTCATCCAGGCTGCCTGTAGGTTTTGTCATGAATGAATGAATGAATGAATCAATCAATGAATCAATGAATCAATGAATGAATGAATGAATCAATCAATCAATCAATCCAGACATATGGGTCAAAAGTAAGACTGTGAGTGTAGGTGGGGGTTGAGATAGTGTTTAGGAACAGGTCTATAAACTGTATTAGTGGATTTCCTCCAAACACCCTCACGCCTGCAGATGGACCTTTGTTTGCCAAGTCAAAGTTTTCACTTTGTCCACCAAGTTCTGATCAGTTTAAGAATTAAAAATGGCCAAGTACGCTACAGAGTCTTGGCAAGCTGGAAGTAGTGATGATAGAAATGGCTCACCCACACATCAACATCCTTGGAATCTGTAAGCTAAAATGAATCAGTTTTGGACACTTTCAGTAAGGGGGACACACCACCTGCTACTAAGGTCATGAACAACAAAGGAGAAATGGAATCACTTTCACTGCCAACAAGGATTTTAGCAATACTGTTACAGATATAATGCTGGGAATGATCGAGTGATGTAGTCTGATTTTGTGAACAACCATTCAACATTATTCATCCAGGTTTATGCCCCAACAACAGATGCAAGTGAAGAAGAAATTGAATTTTAGGATCAACCTCAAGCTAAAAGTGCCAGGAAGGACAAGGACCAATAATACAACACATATTGAAAATGGGAACAAACATAGAAAAACAGAATTGTTTTTCAGAAAATACAGGAGATCTAAAATAAATTTCAGATTTCAGCAGTTGGTGCTCTAACAGATGTCAATGGACAAATCATAACAGAATAAATAAAAAATCAAAATAGACTGAAGAAATACACAGAAGATCTCTACAAAAAAAAAAGTCAATCATCAACATACTTCTGTTCATGTTGGCTACACCGAAGAACCTTTGTTCAGAGTCACTTTACATTCTCTAAAGATCTCAGATGCTTGTGGCAAGGTATTCAGTCCATCACAGACTACAGGTCCCCCACCACCATCCTGGACAACACTGACTTCAACACATTCAATACTAGGGGTGGGGGAAAAAATCGATTCTTAGATGCATCGCGATGCGGACATGGACGATTCTGAATTGATTCACAAATGTCAAAAATCGATTTTCGAAATATTTAATTTATAATGTAATGTTGACAGAACGCAAAAGGCGGAACTTGGAAATGCGGAGGTGCAGCGCCTGGACAGTCTATGGCAGCACATAACAAAAACACAAGTGGATTAGCAAGAAATCCAACCGGCACCCTCTGCATTAAACGCTAGGTTAAGTCAGGAGTCACAACCTAAATGTTAAGAAGAACCATTTTGTCCTTTCAGCAAAAATCAGACCACCATGAGAGTCACAATATTTAACGTCCAGTATGTCTCAGTATGTGCTAATGTCCTAGTATAGGCTAAAAAATATAAACGAAAACGCGGACTCACTTTGCTCTGCTTTAAGCTTTAGCTGTAGCTGCTTTCCTTCCATCTCCACCAGAAAAACTTTGCTCAAAGTACAGCAGCTTATTGTAAAATGTCTCTCAACGTTTGACTGTTTTATGAGGCTGAAGTTGCTTCTTATTCGCCAGCTTCTCGTTTGAATTTTCCCGTTCCACCTTAAATTCTGCCTGAGGCGATGAATGTAAATGTGGCATCATTTAAGGTGGACCGGGAAAATTCAAAAGAGAACCTGAAGAATGAGAAGCTGACTTCACTGTAACTGCATTTTATTGCAGATGAGTGGCAGCCAGTGTCTGATGTGTTCCAAACAAGAGCAGTGAACGAGAGCCTTCCAGTTCACTTGCCTCATCACTTCCATTTGTTTTATTAATAAAAGATATTGGAAGTAAATTCATTATGGATCATTACAAATACTTTGCTTTGAAAGTACCAAGTCGTCACACATTGAGAAAATAGAAATTCTGTATAGAAAAAAATGCATCAAGATGCATCAATAATCGTTTTATAATTGCATCGTAATCGAATCGTGAGGTGCCTAGAGATTCCCACTCCTACTTAATACCTACTTCAGCTAGTTTGAGGAAAAGAACACTACCACAGAAACAAAAGCCCCTCTCACTCTGGATAATAAGTACTCTGCCTCAACCCAGCTGACGTCCAGAGGACCTTACACAGGGTCAACCCATGGAAGGCTGCAGGTCCTGACAACATACCAGGGTGTGTACTCAGGGAATGTGCTGAACAACTGACACACGTCCTCACAGACATCTATAACACCTCCCTGAGCCAAGTCATCGTTCCCTCGTGCTTCAAGGCCACTACTATCACACCACTGCCAAAGAAGTCACCAGCATCAACACTCTCTACCACTCAACTACCGCCCTATAGCACTCACTCCCATCATGATGAAGTCGTTTGAAAAACTGCTCACATATTCCATAGCATCCAGACTCCTCACAAAGCTCAACCCACTCCAATTTGCATACCTCCCTAACCGCTCCACTGAGGATGCCATATCAGCAGCACTTCACCTGAGTCTGGCCCATCTGGAGAGCAAGAACAGCCATGTGTGGATGCTCCTCATTGATTTCAGCTCCACCTTCAATACAGTCATCTCCATGCACTTGGTGAGGAAACTCAGCTCATTTGGCATCGACACCCCACTGGGCAACTGGTTACTGGACTTTCTCACAGACAGGTGACAGACAGTACGAGCTGGAATAAACACCTTTAAAACCATCATCGTTCCCCAGGGCTGTGTGCTGAGCCCTCTGTTGTTCACCCTGAATACTCATGACTGTTGTGCCAAGAACAACCCTAACCACATTATTACGTTTGCAGATGATACAATGGTAGTGGGCCTCATCAGCAATAACGACGACTCAGCCTACAGAGAGGAAGTGAACCAACTCGTCGTCTGGTGTGACAAGAACAACCTGTCACTGAATGTTAACAAGACAAAGGAAATTACTGTTGACTTCAGGAGGAAGCACATGGTACATACTCCACTTACAAACCATGGTAACGCTGTGGAGTCAGTGAGAAGCACCAAGTTTATGGGAGTGCACATCATGGACGACCTGACATGGACTACACACACCACCTCCCTTGTCAAGAGGGCACAGCAGCGCCTTCACTTCCTATGACGGATGAGAAGAGCGAACCTCCCCCCTCCTATCCTCACAACTCCTACAGAGGCTCTATAGAGAACATCCTGACCAGCAGCCTCCCAGTGTGGTATGGCAGCTGCACCGCCGCAGACCAGTAGTCCCTCCAGAGAGTGGTGAGGACAGCAGAGAGAGTAATCAGAACCCCACTTCCGTCCATACAAGATCTCTACCTGTCACACTGCCTCAGCAGAGCCACCAAGATATTGAGAGACCTCACCCACCCTGCCCATGGACTGTTTAGCCTCCTGCCCTCTGGTAAACACTACCGCAGCATGCAGTGCTGCCTATCTCAGCAGGAGCTTCAGCCATCAGTCTACTCAACTTCCTGTATCAATACACAACATGCTGGCCTATCAGGACTGTTGAACTCCTGAACATACATACAGACCGTCTGAACACCTCTAGTAGAACTCTCAAAATGCACCTTTTTTGTGCAATATTTTCACTGTTTTCATCAGTTGAGCACTTTATCAGTATTGACCAGTGTAAAGTTTACATTTCCTGTTACGCTGTGCAGTAATACTGTCACTAAGAACAGAGTGTTCAAACAATCAAACAGTTTCCCCTCATATCGCACGCCAGTAAAATTATGCTCAAGATCATTCAGTAAAGACTAGAGGCAGAGTAACAAGAGATATTATTGCAGAACTAGACAGAGTAGAAATCTACGTGGTGCAAATGTCCAGGCGCACTTCTCTTACCTGTTTGAAACCCCAGGTGGAACAAATAATCAAACAGTTCTAGTAAACGGAGTTGGGAGTGTGCTGGTGTTATTTATCTGACATGTACACCCCTAACACAAGAGATAAAGTCCCCTGTAAACAGATAGAGAGCGTACTGATAAATCTCCTGATAAAATTAAACACAAGAGATTTAAAACAAGTTAAAACACAGCACACGTGGTAACAGTCCTCTCTACCTTAGTCATTTCGAGTGCCTCCTTTAAAGGCTCAGGCTCCTCTCCTGATTACACCAGCCAGGCATCTGATTTCTCAGAAGTCTAACTCGCATGACTGATGGTAGCAAGCTGGTGCACCTGCGGAGGGAGAGACAGAGAGAGAAAGAGACACACAAACAAAACAACAAAATACATGCTTACACATAACGCTGAGAAGAACTGATTCATTGGAAAAGACCATTGTGTTTGGTAGAATTGAAGATGAAAGATGAAGAGGATGATCTGCAGCAAGACTGATGGATATAATCAGAGGAATCATGAACCAGCCATTCAGAAGCTGGAAGGCCCAAACAGAAGACATGATATTCTGGAGAAACACTATCCATTTGATTGTCAGAAGTCGGAAACGGCACTTGACAGCACTTATACACATAATAAAATAAACGTCTCATCCAATCACAGGGATCCAAGAGGGAGGTTTGGCACTTTAAAATTGAAGATAATTTTGTTACATTACTTTGAGAGACACATAAAGTAACAATAAATGGTTAGTAATATGAAGTAAAAAGTAATTCATGGTGAAAATATAAACACAGCTCTGAGGACGGTGAGGCAGCTGAATATGTGGAGGTGAAGGAAAGTGACGAGCAAAGCCTAAACACTGTGTTCCACACTCTCAATACTCTGAATATTGCAATAGTCAATGTTGTATTCATAGAATATACATTTTCAGCATTTATATTTTGAAGTTAGGTGGTTTCTGGAGTGTCAGACAACTCAATTTCAAACTTTAATTGAAAAAAAAAATATTTTCACTCTATGCTGTTTTCTCTGTGTTCACTGGAGAGTCAGTCACTCTGAAGTGTGAGATAGAGTCTTACAGTAACTGGAGATATCAGTGGTATAAAGGCAGCAGTAGAACTGCAGTCTATCAGTCTCAGACAAACACTTTCACCATCAGATCAGCTGCCGTTCAACATCAGGGTCTGTACTGGTGTAGAGGACAGAGAAATAACAGACCTACATCGTCACAACACAGCATTGCTGTTACTCTCACAGTGAAAGGTAAGCTTGCTAGTTATTTTTATTTGTTTGTTTGTTTAGTGAGAGGAAAGTGTCCAATATGATTAGTAGCACAGAAAACAGGAAATAAAATTTCCCTACAATTAACACATGTAATGTATATCTGAAACCAGTGACATAACAATGTAACATTTTACGTTAAAGATCACAAATGAATTGATAATACTATGCTTAATAAAGTTATGATAAATTAAGATAAACATGTTGTATAAAGTTAAGTGGTGTAATATGAGTATTTTTCCTTTATGAGCTTGTTGATTCTGTGTAATCTCAGTATTTTTACCTCATTTGTTCCTGAGTAACTACACTTCTCTGTAGGTGGGCCAACATATCAAAGTAATAGAACAACCAAAGCTGATTATAATGCAGTAATTTAGTCTAATGCCAACTGATGTTCTCACTTGATGTGAGATGCAGTAACTGAGAAACAATATAGAAAGAAATATGTTGCATCATATAAACTAATATAATAACTAAGATTAATTAATAAAGGATCTAAAATTAATTCATTATATAATTTTACCTAATATAATAACATTAACTAGTAACTAGTATTAAATAAATCATTAAGGAATAAGATTCATTAACAACAAAATGTTTTATGATACCTGAAGGAATAATGAAAATGAGCTGAAGGAAAACTAATGAACAATTTTAATGAGAAAAGTGAAAGATTAACCAATTTTGTAACAATCAAAGTAAATCTCAAAATAAATCTAAAAACATATGTATATATTTTTTTTTAAATATGACACCCCTTGTGGTAATATCATTGATGTCATTCTTAGTAATAATAATAATAATAATAATAATTAATATAGGGCATAATACATTAAGATTAATTAATATAGAAGTAACTGGGAAGAGATCATGAAGAAACATATGAAACATTCATGGTACAAAACATAAGCAATCATAACCACCTTATAAAGAACAATTATGTGTTATGCTACTCAATGAATGAATTATGAAAACTAATTCATTCGCAATTAAAAAATGCTGAGTTAAAAACAACCAAATTTGGGTCATATTCTTAACCCTGCACTGGGTCACTGTATAACAGAACACACACTGGATTAATCTGACCAGCATTGCTGGGTCATGTGAACCACACAAACAGACTGGGTCATTAGAGTTGTACAACCTGTTGTTTTTACAAACTGTAATAAAGAAAAGACAAAATTTACAATAAAAGACACAAACATGACAAACACTTTGTTTTATCCAAAGTAATGTACCGTAGATTGAGAGAAAAATGGTGATATACAGTCTAGTCTAACTTTTGTTTGGTTAACCAACATTAGCTAGATTAGCTATGTTAGCCAGGTTAGCAATGTAAAATTAGCCACATTAAGTACAATTATTACATAGATAATGATAATGTTACTTTAAAATGACCTAATATTCAGCTACAAATATTGTTAAATGTACTGTAAAGGGCTAAAGCTACCAGAGAGACTCGAGTAAAACAGTGGAAATTAACATTGTAGCATGCTAACATTAGCTAGGTTAATCAGTCTTCCATGACAATTAGAAATATAGCGTCTATAATACAGAGTTCTCTTGAAATAAAGTGTCTATTATTGGTTTCACTTTAGAGTAAAAGTCTATATTTTATGGACGTTTACTCATTGATTCCTGTCAGCAGAGACCATAGATATACATACCTAGATGCCGCGATGGGGGCAGTCAACATCGCTGCTGGACAGCATTCAGTACCATTACAGAGCAGCAGTTTAAGAGAGATACTGTCCAAAATTATACAACTTCAAGAATGTTGCTCTCAGAAAGTGGGATAGGATTATATAACGGAGGAAACGCAGCGATCCACACTCATGTTTGTGTGATTTTTATGTGTAGATATGGCCGTGTGGTTGGTGAGGCACAGAGAACCTGTTGATGTGTTTTTCCTCTGGTTTTATCTTAAGCTTGTTTCATTTAATAGTCTATTCGGGGGATCTTAGCTTTATGTAGTAATTATTTATTTACAATGATGGTTAATGCTTTGTAGCTAGGCAAGTTATAGCATTCCTTAATCCGTGTAGATCTTCATAATAGATTAACGTCAGCAACTTCTTACACTAAGTCAGCTTCTTATTTGCCGACTTCCTGTTCACATTTTCCTGTTCCACCTTAAATGGTGCATCAGCCAGCTTCTTGTTCGAGTTTTCTTGTTCCACCTTAAATGATGCAGCTTCAGGCTCCAGAAAGTGACTGCTGCACCATTTAAGAAGCTGGCGAATAGGAAGACAACTTGAGCTTCGTCCTTCTTACTGTGTTTTGGGAGGGTTATTTTATATTTTTGTGTATTACGATTAGAAGTTACTCACACATTGATGGATTTGCTGATGTGTGTGAGATTACGTTCTACTGGAGTTCACGCTAAACTCGGTTTTTAACGTCAGGTTCAATACTTCTCTGAATACTTCTCTGTTGGCCCAGATGGCTAATTAGCGCGATCAGTTATTAAAGAACTAAAAGTTACCGAGAGCAGTCTGGTACATCACGGCATATAAGTATGTATATCTATAGCAGAGACTCTGCTGTTCTGCTGTCTGATGAGGAGCCATTTAACTGACTCTGCTTTATTCAGCGCTGTAATGATTTGGAAATGAGCCCTTTGGCTGTGTTCTTAGTTAGTGTCTAATAAGTTTAAGGAACAAAATGTAAGATTAACTAAATAAATAAACAAATATTAGTAACACTATGTTTCATGCGTGGCATAATATACCAAAATGTAATGAAATCAGTACAGAATAGACTAGTGGATTATTAACTAATAGGATAATGAAAAACCACATTAATCTCTCAAGTATTGAACCTTTATAAGTAGACCTACAGCAGAATAGGTGCATTCAGCAATTACACAAAGGCATTAGCCTACATCTTTATGAAAAATAAAGATACAGACGTGTGAAGCAGCACACTGTCCTGTACATGTTACATACAGGAATGAACAGCCTATGAACAGTGAATTATACAGTTTTATCTTGTTCCTTGTTTCCATTAACCAGTGTGGAAATTGTTTCTTGGTTGATTTCTGTCTGCTGTGCTTTTAGTCTTAGCTTTCTTTGATCTAAATCCGCTCGCCCAAGACAGTAAAATCATCAACTGGAGAAAGAAAAATCACTGACTAGCCAGAGTATCTTCATTAGTGATTAACAGTAATAATGTGTTATTAATATCATTAGTTAACAGTATTTGTGCCCCCTGTAGTGAAGTGATACACTATCATACAAAGTTCATGTTTAATACATGGAGGATCTTTTGGGAAAACAAAACAAAACAAAAAACTATATAGGTCTGTGGCGTGTGCCCGTCCACCTGGCCCCGATGGTGGCCGCCAGAGCCGGCAGGAAGGTGGGGCCCTGTGGACAGGCACATGCCACAAGGTCACATAAAACTTCATCAGGAAACAAGTAAATAACAAATGAACAAATAGTATGTTACACAACACAAACATGAAATACACAGTCAGACAAGCCTTAACCAGTGTTAATAGAACTAGCTGTCAGATCACATCACCTCTCCACAGCTGTCTGACACAGTAAAGTAAATCAGCTCTTTCTCTGTTTACTTTACACAGCAAGTTGTTTATGATAGATCACATGTATCCAGTCCTCTCTCCCTTAAAGGTTGTGTGAGGAGGACACAGCCACTCTTACTTTGCATTGTGTTGTGTTGAAGAAGAATACTCGGGAGGTTTGGATGCTGGTACCAACTCTGTGGATCATTTATTTGAAGAGAGTTCTGAATGTATAAGACAGAAAAATAGTGAGAAATGGCTCCCAGCCTCGTGTCTGCTTGCATTAGCCTCTCTCTCTCCAGCAGTGCTCTAACCAGACTGACATAACAAAAAAAAATTCTTCAGTACTGGTACTATCTTGTCCACTGACAATTCAGGTTTTTCTCATATAACACATAAAAAAGGAAGACAGAAAAAGAATAAAATAAAAGACAAAGAAATAGAAAAGTACTTGTCTTAAATTAGCACAATGTTTCTTTCTCCTCTTTCTCTTTTCTTCTCTGTCTACTAGCTTAGAGCTGTGCTCTGTTTTCTCCTCATTGTTTGTTTTCTCTTTTTACCCTTTTCTTTTCTCTCTTTATTTTTTATTTGTGTAGATACAAACCACTGAGTACTGTTAGAAATTGTTTTATTTTGATGTATTTTCTAGTTTTCTGTTTACTTCCATTTGCTTTAATTGTTATTCATTGTTAAACAGTATGAATGCTGAAGGCTTTAAGAAGCCACCTCCTTTTCTGTTCTCGTGGTTTGAACAATTAAGTACCATAAAGGTTACCCCTCTACAAAGGTGTGACAAGGGTGTGCTGTTTGTGATATACGATAATATATATTGCAGTATGGCTGGAAAATATATTTGCTTCTTACAACATATATTTATATTGAATTAACTTTGCACTAATTCATCAGACTTTTCTAGCAAGTGTTACAACTAAGGCACTGTCTGAACAGTAGGTGCTAGAAATAAAGTTCAAGTGTTTGTTTGTAGCAGAGATGTTCCTTGTATTAAAATATGATTATTCCAACTTAAATATTTTTAAATTATTTTGAAAAAAAAAACAAAATGTGTTATGTTGTGCCACTCCCAGGGGTGACTGTATATTCAGTGAATGTATATTCTATGTAAAGACACTTTTCTAAATATATATATATATATAATTTAATGGCATTCTCTAATTATTTCATCATTAACACAACCGATAAAGAAAGAATATTTCACCACTTTAAGGCCCACAAACATCATGAACTCATGAAAAAGTAATGCTTTAGTAAAGCTTTAGCTTGCTGTTTTTCCCTCTGGGGGCTGGTATGGTTCCACACAGTTCCACACCTACAGGGGTGGCCCCCAATGGCCTAAAAACCACAGTTCTTTCCTGTGGCTCTGTGCTTCACCCACCCACTCTCCAGCTATCCGTGTTGTGCAGATACAACCTTACAGTGAGAACATTGATATGTGTTTTCTTTTCTTTACACGTTCTTTCTGAAATCAGAAGAACCTGATGTGGAGCTTTTCATCTCTCTCTCTCTATCTCTCTCTCTCTCTCTCTCTCTCTCTATATATATATATATACTGTGTATGTTTGGAACAACTCAACTGCTTTTACTTGCTCCTCAAACTTAGAATTCCATCCAAAATCTAATAAAACTAACCAAAAACTAATAAGAAAAAATAATTTACATTTTTATACCCCTGTGTGACCCAAAGGCTGAGAAAGTAATGCTCTAAATGTAAGTAGTTTTCCCCCTTTGACCTAAACACCATCTCCAGCAACTTTTGCATCTGAATTCAGCCATGTCCAGTTCCCAGATTGGACTGTAGCTGAGTTACCAGCAAATCGTATAGTGGTTTTTAAAATGGTAGCATAACAATCTATTCAAGGCCTACTGTAGTTACATAGACATAGAGAAACAAGGCCCAAATTTGTTGTTGGTAATGAAGTTTGCATTAATATCAGAGATTCTATCGGGCAAAATTCCTCTACAACTGTTTGGTAATCAATTTCCCTTTGTCCATTGCTTGCAAACAAAATCAAAAAGTGTTTTACATTTTACCTAAATAACAGAAAGATAGTTAAAAAAACTTAGCATACAGAGAAGCTTCGGTATCTGAGCATTGTAGTTGAAAGCAGGGGCAGATGAAACTATGACTCCTTCAATGGCCTTCATTACCAAAGACAGCTGCTCTGTGACTCCTTGCATGGTCCTGATTATCAAAGATAACTGCTCCTGTGAAATTCCCTGAAAAAGGTTTCCTGCTGGGCTCCACAGTGAAATTCTGTCAAAGGGATTTCTTGCTGAGATTCCCTTCACCATCGCACCCATTTTGTGTTTTTCTGCCTGCTGTTTATGACAGTCTCTGTCCCAATGACCACATTTACGACAGTAGTGACATTCAGATAACTTATAATTCCTGTTGGAAGTAAAGTTCTGCCTGGAGTCTGGGTTAGAGTTATTCTCTGTGAGTACATGTATAGATGCAGAAACACTACAGAACTCAAAATCGCAGTCTAGGTGATCAAGCTCATCTTTAAGGTTCCCCCATTTAGTTTTACGCCAGTTTGGAGCAGCAGTCACTACTGCTTGCCTAAGGTCTGATTGTAGTGACTCAACAAGTTGTCCAAAATGTGGACCATCATTTGTGCATTCAGTGTTATCACCATTATATTTATCAATACCAGAGTGAGACAGAAAGGCTCTTTGAAAACACCTGCATTTTCTGCCTTTTTCTGCCTGCATTTGGTTTGCAGTATTTGCCCCAATATTTTCTTTTGCATGAGATCAATGAAGTTGAGCCGGATTTCTCTAGGAGGTTTAAATTGGTGGCTGCAACTAAAGGAACATGACTAAATTCTACTCTGGTTTTCTTCAACTTCACCTCCCTTATTAAGGACCTCAAAAGATCTAATAGTGACTGCTCTCATCTGAGCTGCCTTATCGCTAGTAGGTACAGAATCCTCATCGGAGGAGGAGGTTTATGATCCATCTGAATGGATTGCATCCAATTCTAGATACAGCCTAGCCAACAGTGGAGGATCTTCATCCTCTGTGTAGCATGGCTGACCCGGTGGAGGGGGTACAAGTGGAGGTCGACACTGACACTTTGACACTTTTAACTAAGATTGAGCTGACAAGGTTAGAGTGTTATCACCTTTCACCTTATGCCTTTCTGCAGAGGGCGGGTGACAAGTATTACTTTTCTACAACAAAAGGCCATTTGATAAAACTCTACAATAAACATGGCTAAGATCCTTAAGAAAATAACATATAAAGGAAAAAAAAACGTTGAGAATATTTTCTCTCACTGGGAATTAAAAACTTTATTTATAATCTACCTTTTTAACACAAGTTCACAAAGTGCTTTACAGGAACATTAAAAACAGAACACAAAGATTTATTAATAAAATACATTGTCTAAGTTGATTGAACTACTGCATGTTTTGTTAAATGAAAAGCAGCTCTGATATCTTCATTATTTCATATGTACAGAAAAACCCAAACCGACTGTGAGGGTGGATCCTCAGAGCTCTGTCTACACTGGAGACACAGTTACTCTGATCTGTGAGGTGGAGTCTACTGGATGGGAGTTTCTCTGGTACAAAAACTCTCAGCTATTACAGCCTCAGAATCCTGCAGATAAAAACACCAACACAATCAGTGTAACAGTGTCTGATGCAGGAACAGCAGAGTTTAGATGTAGAGCACACAGAGGAGACTACAGCACACAGGACAGTGATCCAGTCAAGATTACAGTTAGAGGTACGTCTGTTTTCTGTTTTCTTGTTATTACAGATTTGACTTTAGATTGAATGGGGTGGTGGTTGATGTGGCAATTCCCCAAATTATTTGAAATTTTTATTATTCTATAATTATTTTCCGAACTCACATGCATCTTCTGATTGGATATTTAAGTGCCAAAAGTTTCTAAATTATGTGTCATGTTTGTACAGAGAGACCAAAAGCTACAGTGAAAATACAACCAGCTGATCATGTGTTCATTGGAGAGACAGTCACTCTCACATGTGATATAGACAGTGGAGGTTACTGGTGGTACCATTGGTATAAAGGTGAAAACGTTTTCAGTTATTCTCAAAGGAGGAAGAAATACACTATTTCTAAAGTTGCTCAGTCTCATAGTGGAGTTTATACCTGTGAAGGAACACAGTCAGCAAACCCGCGTTACTCACAGACCAGTGATGCTGTTACACTGACTGTATCAGGTGAGTAACATCTCAGTCACAAACTGTTTCTGCCGTTATTGCTTTGAAATACTAAAGTGTGTTTTAATGCTCCACTTCTGAATATCCACACTGTCATATATATAGGAAGCAGTGAAGGTCTTTAAACTTTTAAAACACACAATATTTTACAAGTCCTGATGGCAACAGTGCATCATTCCATAAACACTGAGCACATAAGCTAAAGACATTTATGACAGTGTGAAGATTTTAACACAAATCCTAAACTGAATTCTCACTGTAGATTGTTTCCAGCATCAGAAAGGACGAATACATAGTTATGATGAAAGTATGGGGGGTAATGGGGTGTAAGATTAGTACCAAATGAGAGCTTTGTATGTAAGACCAAAAGGAACTGCATTGTGAGTGACAGTAATGTATGAAGCCTTTGTTTCTTTGTAAAAAGTGAAGATGAGAGTAGTTTTTGTAAGGGATCAGCTCGAGCTGCCACCTGCCAGCAGAGAACGATGGCAGTGATGTGCCGTCAATTTGGACGACTTCAGTTCCCAAAAGCCCATGGGCTGATTAGCCCAACCAGGCACACCTGTGATGCTGCACTTAAGCCCATAGCATACGGCACTGCGGCATCGCACCTTTGTAGAGGTATGACCAGCATGGTATTCTTCACAAAATAACAGAAAACAAAGAGAAAAAGAAAAGAGAGTTGTGAAAGAAAAGAAAAGAGACAAGCAGCTCCAAAACAAAGAGAAAAAGAAAAAATACAATCAGCTCCAAATCAAAGAGAAAAAGAAAAGAGGGCTTAAAAAATTCCAGATTTGAAAAGAAACTCTTACTCCAAACAGCAAAAAAGAGAAAAGGAGAACAAAGATACTCAAAGCTGATCTTCCTCTGATAATTAAAGAGGAATTGTTGTTGTTTCCTGATTATTATTTGCTGAATTTTTGAAGAGCTCCTTTTGTTTGAGTACGCCATTTCCGAGTCTCCTTAATTTGCCACCCCCCAAATCTCGGGGGTGGATGTAAATCCACAAACCACCCGCGCCTCCCAGTGGGGCAGAGTGGAAATGCTTCGTGTTGGGGCAAATTTTCAGTGTCACACACAGGTTGACCAGCCTTGTGTGGGCAGAGGCAGAACAATAGATAAGTGTAGAGGAATAACGCAAAATAATCAATATCCAAAATAAAATTATAATCACTAAATAACGAGCATATAACAATAATATCTAACAGCAAAATATGAAAAATGAATGCACTAATACTTAATAGAAGTTCTAAACGTGTTCTAAATAGAAGCAAGCAATGCATGAACAAAATGTGAATTTCCTTCTTGTGTGCTAGAAACAGTGGAGCCTTTAGACAGTTAAGGCCTGTTTACACTTTGCATTAATATGTGCTTGTGATGATCGGATCATGTTCGGATTTCAAAAGCCAGGTGTAAAACTGTCAAGGATGCACTGTAAGCAGATTAAGATCAGATCACTCAAACAACATTTAAAGGAAACACATTTGGAATGTGTTTTCTTTTTCCATATACAATGACATGAGCAGAAATGTATCTGCTGAGTGCTGACTGGCAGATGAGAGAATAAACAGTGAAACACAAGATGGAGGACACGCAAACAACATGTGCTTTTTATGAGGGAAAAGTACAATCAGATCTCATCTGGTCAAAATGGAGATGCATTTTAGTAAAAAGTGTGAATAGAATCTGGGCAAAGTTTATCCAGGTACAATCTGGACATGAAACACACATTAATGCAAGATGTAAACAAGCTCTTACGTGGCCACAGCTCATAAGAAAGGTGAATACACAACAGTAAAGATGACTAAAGGCATGTGGCAGTCATTTTCAGTACTGAATTCTTGTGGGAGCAGGACAAAGAATTCCAGTACCACAAAGATCTCTACTGTGATGTAAAGCAATCGACTGAGTGGAAGTGTATCATATAGAAAAACCCACAAAGAACCTCAGATCACTTCACACACAAACACGCCAAAAATATCAAAGTGACTGACTTTAATAAAGAATGGATGAAGAGCAGACAGAGTAAAACTCTACACTGAATAATCCAAGAATGACTGAAGAGTGACTGAAGAAAGCTGCTGTTATATATATTATAAAATTATATATTGTTACATAATGCACAGGTCTATACTTGTAATAACAAGAATCTGTGTACATGATGTGTCTATGAAGAGAGCCTGATTGGTCATGCGATGTGGACCTAATATTTTACAAATGTACATCTTAGTGTGAGCTGCATCAACAAGGATTAAATTAAACTGTTTAGAGCTTATCTAGAATTTGTTGATCTAGATTTTATTTTTTTTAGTTGTGTTGCACTACTTAATTTTAACCATAGATTAATCTGTGATTAAAGTCTTAATCATTAATTAAAACCTTGACCTGCCATTTATTCTGATTGTCTGCTATGATGGATTCAGCAGTATAAATAAACAGCAACAACATTTCTCTCCACACTGATCATTACTAATCATTATTTCTACTTATTTCTTCCCTTCTGAGTGAAAACTAGCATAGAGCTACATTAAAACCAGCTCTCACAATCAGAGAGGAAATGTAGGCATTTAATAAACAGTCCATTATTAGACCCACAGCCTCAGTGTCAGGAGGAGCCGTTTAGTCAGACCTGCTGAGAAGACTGTCTCAATTATAACATTACAGAAATCCTGTTAGTAATATAAAGCTTAACACTGAATATTATTAGAGCAGCCTGTTAGCTCTCTGCCAAGCTGTTCATTCTAGATCAGCTAGTTCAACTATCTTACCTGGAGCATATTCAGTTTGTCTTCAGCTGTCCTATTATGTATACGCAAATTGTAACTGTAGATACATGTGAGATCTTGCTGGTGTGTTTTTTTTTACTATATTTCAGTGACACACAAAAACTATTTGAGTGCTATTAGCTCCCCTTCTTGTGGGAAAAAAAAATCTTCAGCCTAATAAGCATCAACGAGTGAGTGTGAGTTACTTACAAGCCAGTTCCTGGAGGTGCTTCTCATCTAAGAAAACAAAAACTTCCTTATGTCACCAGTGCGTAAGAGCGATATAGTTTTACCTATATATAGAGAGAGAGTTTAAATTTAATCCCTACATGAAATTTAAATCAGAGTTTAAAATAATAGACCAACAAAATAAAATGTAAACTGATTATTTACAACCAGGTTTAAAGTTTGGTGCAACTGAAATAACAGAAACTGGTAACACTTTACAATAAGCGTCCATGAAATAGCATTAATTAATGCATTATTTCATGTGTGAGTAATCATTAATTCATGCATGTAATACGTCATCATGAATATTCATAAAGTAACCATGTCCCACTGATGCTTTAATACAGGAGCAATATATTAAGTCATGTAGTAATTAAGTTACCAATATCATCAGTTAAAATCAGTTATTCATAATGTTCATCCGGGTCTTCATGATAATCAGATAGTCTTTCTACAATCTAAATTGTAGAAAGACTGAATGGTGAGTCACCACCTCATAGAACAGGAGTGTTAAGTTTTATTCAGCTTTACTAAAGCATTACTTCTTCATGGGTTCATGATGTTTGTGGAAAGTAAAGTGGTGAAATATTCTTTCTTTATTACTGTTGTGTTAATGATGGAATAATTGCTGAAAGCCATTAATTAAGCAATCTTTTTTATTTTGAATGTGAAGTGTCTTTATACAGTCTTGTAAATGCCAGCTTTTCAGAATAAATAGACATACTGCTTAGTAAACACACAACAGCAAAGTTGCAAATATGCAAGTTAGAACACAGACATTTATGATACAACAGAAATGAGCAGTGCCTCAAAAAATGTGCCTTATGCTCAGTTTGATTAAACCAATATTTGAGATTTTTGAATGGTTTAACTTGATCCATTCAGGCTGGTTTCTTAGCAGCAAATAAACACTGAGAGAAAGCTTTGTAATGTAATTAAAAACAAACAGACAAACAAATAAAAATAGGAAATTTAAGCTCGGCTTAACAGACACAAAACCAGATGGTTTATTTGTTTTTCTCCTAGTTCCACTGACGGACAGAGAAAGACCAGATGTTCTGACTAAACAGAAATACTGTTTTTATTTAATTAAACATAATTCCTTGGTTGTTAAAACATGAGAGAACTGTATATGATTATCATAAGAGACTGTCACAAAGGCCTTTAACTCTACACATTTAAGTAACATTTAACATTTTCAGTCATCTTAAAAAAAACCAAGATCCATAATTAGTTTTTATTATTATTATTATTAATATTAATTATTAATTATTAATATTATTATTTAAGAAATAAATCTCCAAACAATTTAAAACAAACTTCAGCTGAATAAACAATCGAAATTAAACTCAATAACACTGCTGGAAATAAAGGTTCTTTGCAGGTACATTTTTTTGTTAATCAAGGTGCAAACACTGTAAATGTGCCTTCAATGGTACAATAGTGGTTTTAAGGTCCAGTTGTGCACCTTAGATAAGTTTTCTAAGGTGAAAAGTACAACCTCATTTCCCAAAAAGTTGGGACACTGTGCAAAGTGTAAATGAAAACAAAGTGCAATGATGTGCAAATCATTAAAACTCTTTATTTCATTGGAAATAGTACAAAGACAATGAAATATTATTGTTTTCTGAAAAATATTTGCCCATCACTGTTGGAAATTCTTTTTGGAAATCATGGACACTGTGTCCTCCAGGCTAAAGACCACTGAGCTTGTTATCAGCATGCAGAAATGCCAGCAGCTGTGATGGTATAGGGGTACATTAGTGCACATGGCGTGGGTGACTGGCACATCTGTGAAGGCACCATTAATACTGAATGATATATACATGTTTTGGCAACATATATGTTGCCATCCAGACGTCTTTTTCAGGAAAGGCCTTGATTATTTCAGCAAGTGTAAAACCACATTCTGCACATATTACAACAGCATGTCTCTACAGTAAAAGAGTCCAGGTGCTAAACTGACCTGCCTGCAGATCAGAACTGTCACCACTGAAAACATTTGACACATTATGAAATTAAAAAAATATGACAAAGGAGACCCCGAACTGTTGAGCAGCTGGAATCCTATGTCAAGTAAGAATGGGAAAACATTTCACTTTAAAAGCTACAGCAGTGTCTCATCAGTTCCCAAATGCTTACAGAGTGTTGTTAAAAGAATAGGTGATGCAGCAGAGTGGTGAACATGTGCCCGTCCTAACTTTTTTGAAATTCAACTTCAAATTCAGAATGGGCATATATTTTTCAAAACAATATAGTTCCTCAGTTTTTGCATTTGATATATTGTCTTTGTACTATTTTCAAATAAATATAGTGTTTAAATGATGTGCACATCATTGCGTTCTTTTTTATTTACATTTTGCACAGCGGGGTTGTACATATTTGCACCTTTTTATAACCTAATGTTTTAAAACAGAGCAATAAAATAAAAAGCCTAGAGACGACACGGGGTGTGTGTAGCCAGTACAATTTAGAAAAACATAATTTCAGTGGATTAGGGAACAATTATGTTCCCTTACTAAAGGTACTGAGATGTACTCTTGACGGTACCACCCCAGTGACAAGAGGGGGACAGTTTTGTGCCTGTATTTCTCAGAGTGTACATATCAACTTTTATTCACACTGACTGAACTATCTGGATTGCTCTTTGCAAACACAACTTTACCAAGTAACTGTATGCTCCAGGACTGAGTCTGGCAGCTGTGAAGCACATCATAAACAAATATACAGAACACTTTATGTTAAAATATGAATAAAATCAGTCAAGTGCAGAGACTCCACCATTTATCTGAGCTGCTCTGATGCTTTATTGCAACATTAGTTGCCTGTAATTTACTTTTACCAGTCATGTGGAATATAATGCTGGGTAACATTAGTAGACAGCAGTGATACTACTGACAGCTCACGGTAAAGATTTAGTTAACCTAGTTTAGTTAAAATAATAAAAAATAGAATATTTTATAGCAGTCAAAACTGTCTGACTGATCAATGAATATAAACAAAGATTGTTAAATTATAATCTACACTTACACTTACCTCGTGGTTCCTGTGAGTTGGAGGAGGGAGTGTGTCGAACAAAGTGACACACTGGACTTGGACGTCCAGCTTCGCCCTCCAGCAGTCTATAGTAAGAATCCTCTTGACACTGCAGCCCCAGGCTAACCTGTTAATTGCTAGCTATTGACATAACCAGAGAATGTGTAGAGAGGTGAATCACCACTGTGTAATGTTATCCAGGTCTGTCAAACGTTAGAGGGCGCTCCCAAGTGCGTTCAAAATACACAAGTTAATATGGAGCATTGGAGCAAAATCACAGTATGTAAATGCTACATTTTATATTAAACATTTTAATATAAAAGAGTACATTCATTTAATGAAAACAGCACAGCGCTGAACTTTTAACACTGCTGTTATAGTTTACATGGTTTTGAACTAGAAACTAGTAGAAATTGATTTAGCTAAAAATGTTGCTGACATTGACTGTGCTAGATTGATTACAGCTGTGTAAACAGCTTTTTATGATATTGCTCTTAAAATAATTTACTAAACTACTGTACAAAGGATAATGAAAGGAAAAATGAGATATAAAAAGTGACATTTTATCTAATATTCTAATGTCTAATATTTGTAATATTTGCCTAATAGTGGGCCACCAAAAAGCCAGTGGGCCACCAGCTTTGCCATTAGCTGACCAAGCATTAATGAGACATGGTTACTTTATGAATATTCATGATCACTCATGATGTATTACATGTATAAATGAATAAATTACTCACACGTGAAATAATGCATTCATTGTTATTTCATGTATCCTTATTGTACAGTGTTACCAATAAACCTTGATTTAATCTAAGCTTAAGTTTAATCTGTGTGTATCCAACCATGGAAATAATAACTCTATTTATAATACACCTTTGTAACACAAGTTCATAAAGGGCTTTATAGGGAGATTAAAATGAAAATAGAAAAATTTATTAATGAAATACAGTATATAAGATGATTGAACTACTGCTTGTGTTGTAAAATGAAGAGCAGCTCTGAGAGCTTCATTATTTCATATCAACAGAAAAACCCAAACCGACTGTGAGGGTGGATCCTCAGAGCTCTGTCTACACTGGAGCCACAGTTACTCTGATCTGTGAGGTGGAGTCTACTGGATGGGAGTTTCTCTGGTATAAAAACTCTCAGCCATTACGGCCTCAGAATCCTGCAGATAAAGACACCAACACAATCAGAGTAACAGTGTCTGATGAAGGAACAGCAGAGTTTAGATGTAGAGCGCGCAGAGGAAACTACCAATACTACGACGACTACTACAAGAAGTACGTCTACGGCTATCACACAAAGTTCAGTGGTCCAGCCATCATTACAATTGGAGGTATGTCTTTTTTCTGTTTTCTTATCACTACTGTTTTGACTTTAGAATGAATTGAAGGAGGACAGCATTTGTGGTAATCACTCAATATTCTATATTAATAATATTCTAAACTTGCATTTTTGACAATGTTTTTTTTTAAGTCTCAAACATTTCTAAAGTATTTGTTAGAAACTGTTAGCAATTATTTGTCATGTTTGTACAGAGAGACCAAAAGCTACAGTGAAGATAGAACCAGCTGATCATGTGTTCATCGGAGAGACAGTCACTCTCACATGTGATATAGAAAGTGGAGGTGGCTGGCAGTATGAGTGGTTTAAGAATAATACACCTATCAAAGCTGCTCCAGGAACAAATAAATACAATATTTCTAGTGTTGCTCAGTCTCATAATGGAGTTTATACCTGTAATGGAACACAGTCAACAGACCCGCGTTACTCACAGACCAGTGATGCTGTTACACTGACTGTATCAGGTGAGTGTGGCATCTATTTCACTTTATTTGTACCATCTGGTTATAATGGGTCTAAATACAGAAATTGGAGAATTCCAACTTTAACTGACCATTTGCAAGATTGTGATTAATACACCTCTCAGAAAATTGCAGTCCTCACTAAACCTTCCTTCTCCATCAAGCAAAGGGAAAAACTGATAAAACTCCTTAAAAGAAACCTGCAATGAAAACAGTTCTGACAATAAATTAGTCACAATTGTTAGGATAAGAAATGCTATCCTGATTATCTGGAGGATGGTGCTTTTTTCATTCCTGAAGCTGAAAAAGTTTTGTATTAAACTGTGTGGAAATTCACACTCAGCTCAGTGTCAAAACTACTGACAGGCTTATCCTGGCTCTAAGTAAACTATGCTTAATCTGGGTTACTGTATTTCCTAAAAATACATGTAATGTGATATCTAATGATAAATGACATTATAGAAAAATGTTCAAATATTAAGCTAAATAGTTTTTTCTTAACTTAGCTGCTGAAACTTAGCTTGACAAATCAATCAGATTAAACAGGACTCACATTTGTAATTAAAACTCTGGCCCTTATTCATTAAAGTTGTGTAAAAAGTGTGCAGATGTGACCGATGTATGAACTACTCTGAGTCTGATTCATGAAATCTTGTGTCTAGTGTCAGCATACCAGTACCTTCATTACATGAAGTTCATGCAGTTGTTTTGGTAGGACGCCAATAAAAAAAACAGCATTCAGTGTCTCATGAGCCAATGGCTATTTTTGTAGGTGGAGTTTGAGGTTGAGTAGTCAGTGCACTGCTCCCCCTACTGACCAAACTTTACAGTGTTAAAATTACAACGACTGGAAAGAATAAAACGGTCTCTTTTAAAGCTAGAATACCGATTGTGTTGTGTGATTATTTTACTAAAATAAATTATTTAAATGCTGTACTATTGCTTCTGTTATAATTGTTTGGTTGGAGTCAGTAGTATAAAACAAAAGCACAGTGTAATTTGTCTTAAATGGAGCATGTAATAATGGCAGTATTTGATAACACCAATATGCATGTAAAATAAATACATCCACTTCTGTCCTGGGTTGCCATGTGCAAAAGTTTTTTAGTATTATTGTTATTTTCTATTTTTATTCTTGTTATTGATATTATAGATGATATTGCTAATAGTTCTGGTTAGTTAACCACAAATAAAGCATTTTCAGGTGGTTAAACTATTACACTCCAATTTACACAAACCCTACCATGACACGAGTTTGAACATACAGTACGCCAAAGATGACATTAATGACTAACAAAACTGTTGTTGAAATTTGTGCACGCTCATTTTACACTCAGATTTGACTGTACAGCTCTGATGAATAAGGGCCAGTGTGTGTAATGACAAATATTAATGTACTTGTATTTGTACCATTCTTTATGCTGTTTCATTAAAGAGTGCTGAAAGGCCTCATGCAAAAGACAACAAATCCTCCTTGACATCTGATGTTGCTCTAACTAGCTCCAGTGTAAGCTTTAGCATTAGCTCATCTCAAGGGGTAGCGCCCAGCTCTAAAACCTCCTCCATATTAGACATGAAAAACCTCCCGCTTTATCCTAGTGTTAAATGATTTCCCTGGTTTGATTCATGTAAACATAGTTTCCAGAAACTACATGCGTCACAGTAAACGTCTTATTAAATGCCCGTCACTGTCCCTTTATATTAACAGGACACAGACGGTTAGACTTGGTTAAAATGCTGAACAGTTGATGCTGTTTAAAAACAGAAATTACCCAACAGAATTGGTTCAAAACCAGCTGCCTCCAAATAAAATCTTTATCAGTAAAATATAAAGCTTACAGAGCTGTTTCTGAATGAAAATGGTCTGTTTCAGGGAGGTTTGGGCTCTCTGTTGTTCAGCATTGTGATTTAATCCACAAGTTTCACATCAGTGTGATTAGGTGCATCAACAGATTATTTGTTGAGGTTATGACATTTCCTGCACTCACACTGCACTGCTCATATTTACAATCAAAGTCAACCAGTCAGCTGATACATCTAGCATGCATGCAAACTGCACACAAGGATAGGGACAGATAATGAATACAGAGACAATGTATGATTTAAAAGCTTCATGCACAGCATATACATATAAAGATGTATGAGTGACGTACAGTCTAAGTCAGTAACTATAATGTGATTGTAAGGATTTAAACTGCAGTGTGTTACACTACTTTGTTACAGGAAAAAGCAATCACATTACTGTCCTGTAACACTGGCTGTGGATTCCAGCAGGTGGCCTGTACTGAAAGTTTGATGGATATAGTAATAATAACTGAGGGGGGTGGGAATTTCTCAGAATTTTGCAAACAGTCAGTTCTCTTTCTCATCTGGGACAATATGAAATTATGTAGTAATTCAATATTAGGGAAGACATTTTTAAGCTTTCATACATTTTCATCAAGTTTTTACAGTTTGAGATTATTTCAAGTAACTGAGATTTCTTTATCAAATCAAATCAAATCAAATCAGATTTATTGTCACATCACAAGAGTACAGGGACACAGGTGAGTGAAAAACTTGAGTGCGAGTTCCACAAATTATGCAGAGAACAGTATTTACAACATAGATAAACAAAACTATAGATAGGATAGAAGAATAGATAAAACCAATTTAACTAAAATATATACATATAATCTTACACAATAACTTAAAAATAATAATATTGCACCGAGACATATAATATTGCACTGGGAATGTAGGGTGGGTGTAATCAACTATATACTATATATAGTAATGGATATTACAATGCTATGTAGATGTGCAAATAATCACACTAGGTGTGGAGGTAGAAGATGGTACAGTAGGTGGCAGAGTATTTAGTAAAGTGCAAGGTACAGGAAGTTAAGTGGAAGCGCAGGGGGGAGAGTATTGTCTTTGGATAGGTATTCAAAGTCCAGCTATGCAAGTAAAGTGCGGGAGTACAGTGGGTGCACGTACGTGTAATGGGAAGGGTTGGGCTGGGCAGAGCAGTGATTACTGGCTGTTCAATAGCCTGGTTGCATGGGGGAAGAAGCTGTCTTTGAGCCGACTGGTTCTGGCTTTTAAGCTTCTGAGCCTCCTACCACTCGGCAGCTGAGAGAACAGACAGTGACTAGGAGACGCAGCAGTTGCATTTGCAGTAAATGATATCTCATAATGAGCCTATGTTTTTTTTTTAATTTCTGGGGCTTTTGTAGAACTTTCCTTTTGGTCTGCTGTACTCTGATTCCTTATACCAATGGCTAAAACAAGGGTGTGAAGGTGTAGTGTGTTAGTGAGCTAAATGTGAAATTAAGATTTCAGTCTTGTAGGAGAGGTTACACGCACATGTAGGTCAGTGTGAGTTTAGCTGAATGTTTAGCTGGGGCCACTGTCATCACAGTATATAGTGGATCCCTCTGTTGAAGGTGAGTAATTACTGTGGTAAAGACTCTGAGATCATTGTATGAACTCTTCATGGTCTGAACTGTGTGCTTCATCTCCAACAGCAGAAAAACCTAAACCTGAACTCACATCAAGCCATAAAGGAGCTGCACTGATAGGAAATCCAGTGGTTCTGTACTGTAGGCTGGATCAGTCTGCTGGATGGAAGTTTTACTGGTTCAAACACTCACAGAACCCTGAGAATGAGATCAAGACTGAAACACACTCCTACACCATCAGCTCAGTTAGTGTCTCTGATGGAGGACAGTACTGGTGCAGAGCTGGGAGAGGAGACCCAGTCTACTACACTCACTACAGTGATGCTCTCTGGATGAACACGACTGGTGAGTAAAACAGCACACATTCACTTGAAACTTTGCCTCGACACATCCTATTCATTTCATTGGAGAGCTCTGCTGCACTCCGTGGTGTATAATGGTTTGCAATGTGGCAAAATCTGCCTCGCCACAAAACATTAAGCAGATTTCAACTTCATGCAAATTAATACAGCTGCCGCATTGCGTTTAACCAATCAGGCAAGAAAGACCCTTTAGACTCCCCCTCAAATCAAGCCCTGACTCATAACCAAGGTGTTTCCACCTTGCCATACAAAAGACTTTATTTACCATATAGTGAAAAAGACCATTTCACTAATTCACTGCACCATTTTTGGTGTTTTGAATTTTAAATAGTTTTTAGCATCTTTCTTCTAACAGTGCACTATGGATGGCTTGTGAAGAAATATATACACATGTTTGAATATATACACTGACCAGCCACTTACATTTACATTTACATTTACAGCATTTAGCAGACGCTCTTATCCAGAGCGACTTACAAAAAGTGCTTTGTCTATCCAGAGAAAGTATCTTTGCTAGTTACCAATAGGTTAGAGAGAAAGCCAGTCCTGAGCTCAGATACTGCTAGAAACAAAAAGTCATTATTGACACCTAGAGAAAAAGGAACAGAGTTAAACACAGAGCAGTGCAATACAATACAGTACATAAGTGCAGTACAATACATTACAATCAATACTTAATTCAATGCTCATTTAAGTGCTGTATAAAGAGATGTGTCTTCAGTCTGCGCTTGAAGACAGCGAGAGACTCTGCTGTACGGACAGCCAGTGGGAGTTTGTTCCACCACCTGGGTGCCAGCACAGAGAACAGTCTTGATGCTTGCCTTCCACGCGCCTTGAAGGATGGTCGGGTCAAGTCGAGCTGTACTCTTGGTACAGTTCGAAGTACACTTCATTAAACCCACCTCTTTGTTTCTACTGTCTTTCCCCTTTTTATTAGCTTCACTGACCATAGGTGCACTCTCTGCTCCTACAATTACAGACTGCAGTCCATCTGTTTTTCTGTGTACTTTGTTAGCCCCCCTTTTGCCCTGTTCTTCAATGGTCAAGATCCCCACAGGACCACCACAGAGCAGGTATTATGTGGGTGGTGGATCATCCTCAGCACTGCAGTGACACTGACGTGGTGGTTGTGTGTTAGTGTGTGTTGCACTAGTATAAGTGGATCAGACACAGCAGTGCTGGTGCAGTTTTTAAACACTGTGTCCACTCACTGTCCACTGTATTAGACACTCCTACATTGTTGGTCTACACTGTAGATGTACAGTTTGTAGCTGTGCTGTATCCTCTAGTCCAGGGGTCTTTAATTAAAATTAAAAGGTCCAGTTAGAGAAAATTTTCTCAAGCAAAGGTCCGGAACATCATAGTGTCTAACTTGCATCATGATTCAGTGCCATATACTGTTTACTGAAGTAGCCTAGTAGGTATATCAACATTTTATGTAGTCAACAACTGAATGTCAAATCAAATAAAGTACAATTCAGTCATATTTCAACAACATTTATTGTCAGTTTTGGAGCACGCCATGTGAAATAACCTCCCTCTGACTCACTTTCTTCTCTGACTGCTGTTTCTCACCTCGTCCCCCTGTGTGTGCGTCATTCATTCGAGTCTCAGTGCTCATCGTAATGCACAGATCTGATTGGCTGAGTAGCGTCACGCGTGATATTTGCGACACAAGTGATTGGTCTGTGAGTTTCCCGGGCTACAAGTACTGTAAAGGCTAGAAAAGCTACGCGGATTAAAATAGGACCACCCCATCGAAATTAAATAGTTCTCCATAGTTTATCGGTTATAGGTCCAGGTCCACATAGGACAGCGTCAGGGTCTGGACTCGGACCGCGGTCCGCCTATTAGTGACCTCTGCTCTAGTCCTTCATTAGGTCACAGGATGCTGATGGTTGGATATTTTTGTTTGGTGGACTATTCTCAGTCCAACAGTGAGGTTTAAAGGATGTGGTTTTAATGAAGTGGCTGGTCTGTGTGTGTACCGTGTTAAAGAAAAAAAAAAAAACTATTTTAATTTGAATGAAATGTTACTTTGTGTAGCATTGCTTATGCCGGTCTTAAGCAGTATACTACAGAACAGTGTGTTTTCTCTGTATTTTTCAGGTGTGTCTCCTCCAGTTTCTCTGATGGTCAGTCCCAGCAGAACTCAACACTTTATTAATGACTCTCTCTCACTGAGCTGTGAGGGACAGAGTGACTCTACTGGATGGAGAGTGAGACGATTCACACACAGTGAGAAGGTGTCAGATTGTTCATCAGGCTGGGGATCAGTTACAGGATCTACATGCAGCATCAGCTCCCTCTACACATCCCACACTGGAGTGTACTGGTGTGAGTCTGAATCTGGAGAGAACAGCAATTCTGTCAACATTAAAGTGCACTGTGAGTCTATATTGTTCTACTCCTGGACTGAGTTGCACCAATTTTGCATAAGTTTATACTTACATTTATGAGTAAAGTCTTTACTAGGTCCTTAGTTCGTTTCAGACTATTCTTTTCGATTACTAAACTCGGCTGCACCACCAATCAGTAAGTCATGTCTTAACTAGTAACAACCACCTAATGCATACAAGGTGCCAAAATGCTTACCTGGAGTATATTCAGTCTGTCTTCAGCTGTTTCTGTCATATACATACAATTTTTAACTGCAAATGTACATGAGATCCTGTGTGGAGGGTTTTTTTCTCCTATATTGGGCAAATGTGTGGGATACAGTTTTATGGGATACAGAGCGAGGGAACTTAAATTTGATCTCTGAACAAAGTTTAAAATAATGGAATATGTTTACTGTAAAACTATTCCAGGATTAAATTAAAGGTTTAAGTCTAACTCTGATTATTTTCAACCAGGTTCAAATTTTGGTGCTTTAATCCAGGTTTAAGCTTAATCTTTGCTGGTGCAACTTACCCTGGGAATAGTAAATTCTGATTAAAATACATCTGTTTAACACAAGTTCTCAAGTTTACATGGAGATTAAAAACAGAATAAAAAAAGACTTATTAATAAAATACAGTTGTAGCACAGCCTGTGCTACCTTGGGAGGAGGAAGGGCACAGGAGGCAGAAGAGAGTGTTGCAGCAAGCATTTTCTTTTATTTTCACACAAAACAAGAACAAAAACCTCACAAAATCAAAACTAAAGCTGGCCACTTCTCAGTGGCTTTAAGTTAAGTTTATGTTCTTTAAATGCTAATGACCCCCACAGAACCACCATAGAGCAGTATTATGTGGGTGGTGGATCATTCTTAGCACTGCAGTGACACTGATGTGGTGTTAGTGTGTTAGTGTGTGTTGTGTTGGTACAATCAGATACAGCAGTGCTGCTGGAGTTTTTAAACACTGTGTCCACTCACTGTCCATTCTATTAGACACTCCTACCTTGTTGGTCCACCTTGTAGATGTAAAGTCAGAGACAGTAGCTCATCTTTATCTGTACAGTTTGTGTTGTTCATCTTCTAGTCCTTCATCAGTGGTCACACGGTGCTGCCCACAGGACAATGATGGCTGGATATTTTTGGTTGGTGGACTATTCTCAGTCCAGCAGTGACACTGAGATGTTTAAAGAATGTGGTTTGAATGAAGTTGCTCATCAGTGTTTGTGTGTACCGTGTTAAAAAACCTATTCTAATATGAGTTAAAGGTTATTTTATGTAGCATTGCTTATGCCAGTCTTAAGCAGCATACTACAGAACACTGTGTGTCCTCTCTGTATTTTTCAGGCGAGACTCCTCCAGTCTCTCTGAGGGTCAGTCCCAGCAGAACTCAACACTTTATTACTGACTCTCTCTCACTGAGCTGTGAGGGACAGAGTGACTCTACTGGATGGAGAGTGAGACGATACACACACAGTGAGAAGGTGTCAGATTGTTCATCAGGCTGGGGATCAGTTACAGGATCTACATGCAGCATCAGCTCCCTCAACACATCCCACACTGGAGTGTACTGGTGTGAGTCTGAATCTGGAGAGAGCAGCAATCCTGTCAACATCACAGTGCACAGTGAGTCTATATTATTCTAGTCCTGGATTGCATGAGTTTGTACCTACATTTCTGTCCTTTTACTAAATTCGGTTGCACCACCAATCAGTAAGTCATGTATTAACTAGTTACATCTAGCTAATGTGTACACGGTACCAAACGCTAAACACTGCTGACAACAAGCTCAGAACCAGTCAATAAACACACTGCCAAAGAAACAGATTATGCTGGCTTTTTTTTGCATTCCATAGAAAAGAATATGCACTGTAGAAGGGTCTGTGAATATGTTTTATGAACTTAAAAAATTGCATAAGTATAGCTAGATTATTTCTTTGTTATTTATTTCCTCTACACACCCGAATGTGCAGCTTTTCAAACAACAGTTTTTGTCAAACTGACAGAACAGCAGCATCAATCTAGCAGTATTGCTATTAGCATTTGCCAAGTGACAGTCTGAGCTGTGGATGTTAGTTATGATCTCACTGAACTGGAGCTGTGGATGTTACTTATGGTCTCACTGAACTGGAGCTGTGGATGTTAGTTATGATCTCATTGAACTGGAGCTGTGGATGTTAGTTATGGCTTCACTGAACTGGAGCTGTGGATGTTAGTTGTGGTCTCACTGAACTGGAGCTGTGGATGTTAGTCATGGTCTCACTGAACTGGAGCTGTGGATGTTAGTTATGATCTCACTGAACTGGAGCTGTGGATGTTAGTTATGATCTCATTGAACTGGAGCTGTGGATGATAGATATGGACTGAACTGAAGTAATGGATGTTAACTATTATCTCACTAATCTTTACCATGACAACGAGCATCCCGTGACTCCAGTCAGAGTGATACACAGCATTATGTTACCTGAGTCTTCAGTTGGCGTGCTTTTGTTTTGAATTGCTTTAAAATTGTGGCAGACTCAGCAAAATTAACGTCACATAACATCACATGAAGACGTCATGTCCTGCAACATTCTGAGACACATGAACTGGATGCCAGTACCACCGCCGAGAACCGGAAACCTCTGGATGCAGTCTTCTAAAGATTGAAGCTTAAACTTAGTCTCCTCTGCAGACCAGTTTCTCGCTCCACTTTTGAAAATTACTTTTTTTCATGATACATGTTGTTGGGAGTGGACTTTACACCTATAAAAAATATCAAAGATATATTATGATTAATAGTACTTTTATTAGGAATAAAAATGGTTTCCATTAACATTTGCTGTTGTTCTTTTTAAAAACTCGCTATATCCTAAAATGTTGTTACAAATGGATACATAGCAGCTGTGAATTAAACTCTTCAGATATTTGTGTTCATATCCTGTTTTAAAGTAAGTACAGTAAGAGTGAGTTGTACCAACAAAGATTAAATTAAACAGAGTTTAGAGCTAATCTAATTTGTTAATCTAGATTTTATTTTAAATCAAGTTGTGAAATATTAAACATGGATTAACAAATCTGGATTAAAGTCTTAATCTGTGATTAATGCTGTGACCTGCCATTCATTCTGTTTGTCTGCCATGATGGATTCAGCAGTATAAATAAACAGCAACAACATTTGTCTCCACACTGATCATTACTTGTTTCTTCCCTTTTGAGTGAAAACCAGCATAGAACTACATTAAAACCAGCTCTCACAATCAGAGAGGGAATACAGAATACAGTTAATGCTCCAATATAACTCAAATCTAAAGAATAACTCAAAATATTATTAGAGCAGCCTGTTGGCCTGTTAGCTCTCTGCCAAGCTGTTCATCCCTGATCATCTAGTTTGGCTATCTTGAAGAATATTCAGTCTGTCTTCAGCTGTTTCCACCATATGCACACAATTTATATTGGCAAATGTACATGAGATCCTGTGTGGTGTCTATTTTTCTCCTATTTCAATTATACACTAAGGCTACTTGAGTGCTATTTGCCCCCCTTTTGGGCAAATGTGTGTGATACCGAGCAAGAGAACTTAAATTTGATCTCCAAACAACATTTATAATAATGAAACAGCAGATTTAACTTATTATCTTCAACTAGGTTCAAAGTTTGGTGCAACTGAAATCACAGATAAACCTTGATTTAATCCAAGCTTAAGCTTAATCTCTGTTGGTGTGTAGCAGGTGTAATAATTGACTTTAATTATTTCATTTACATATATTTATGTACATTTTTTTGTTATTAGTTTCACTTGAAATCCCTTCCCTAAGTTCTACCTTGCAAGTTCTTAACTGTTCTTCATGGCTTATGGGAGTACGTATGTGTTTTGTCCTTTCTCAGCACCCGTAGTTTTTCTCCCTTTGTCGTGTTGGCGCTGTTTTTTTTTTCAGTCTGCAGTGAACCTGACTGAGAGAGGTGCGTTTGTGAAGTGCTCTGTTCTAATAACTCATTGTAGTGTTTTAAGATGGAGTTTTTGCATTGTCTGAGAAGCTATTGACGCCAATTTATCATTCTGCTTTGCTCTAAATGATTTGTACACAGAAATACACACAGACTGAAGCTGATATCCGGTGTCCTGAGTTTTATTACAATCCCACACACAACGCAGATGACGGGGAAGTAGCAGAGGGGGTAACTCTGGCTACAGGTGCAACCCACCCTGGGAATAATAAACTTTGGTTATAGCGCAAAACCAAAACTCAAAGCTGGCAGCTGCCTAGATTTTTCAGTATTTTTTCTCTCTCTCTTGCGAGCTCCTCAGCTCACCAGTCCTTACTGCTGCTGCTCGTCCTTCTCCTCTTACTCTCTGTTGATATGGAACCTTTATGTTATGTGGAGGTTAAACTTGAAAAAAGGTTCTTCGTGCTCACACATCTCATTTACAAAACACTCTTTTAAAAAGCATCCTTTGAAATGTGCTCACTTTTGATCTCTAAGTCAAGAGACCAGGTCCAGTACACACTGAGTCTCCATAATTTATATTAGTAATATATGAAGGTAGAGGTTTTTGTAAATCCACTATGTTATACAAAAGATACAAAAGCAACATATTAACATTATGTATTATAATATATGATTATTACATTAATATAGCATTATTATTAGTGCTGTATGCTGTTTTGTTGTCTTATTGAAACCTTTCATTATTCATGTGAAATTTAGGAACAATCTGTATGCATCCTACTGTGAGGAATCTCAGAGGAATCCTAGAGTACTTTCTTATACTTAAAAACTATTTATGGGTATGTGTGTCTGTGTGTGTGTGTGTGTCTGTGTGTGTGTGTGTTTCAGGTGTGGCTAGTTCAGGAGCTTCATTCTCAGTGCTCTGTCTGCTCAGCTGTTTAATGGCAGCGTCTCCATATGTGCTGGTGACCATCGTGCTGGTGGTCAAATTCTACAGGGCTCAAGGTAAGAACTCTTTGACAGAGTCTGTCTGTAAATCACCTCTAAGCAATATTAGCCCTGATTATTTTTCACTCTCAGCAAAATTCCAATTACTATCACTCCAGTAGTCATTTTTACATTTTCATTTAAATGTAGTCATTTATTTTATGTTAGTTATTTTTGTATTTATTTGTTTATTTATTTTGCTTCATGCATACGGTCAGTCATCAAATTAGCATTACCTAATTGCATATACGGCATTCTACTAAGGGGCTTGCTAGGCCAGTTTTTTTTAGTATCATACTGTTATAGCAGGGTGCAACCTAGGGGAGGCACTGCTGCTGCTGTTTTGCTGCAGTGCTGCGCTACACATTTCAAGTTTCAATACTTTATTGCCACATTACCCGGTACCTGACTAAGAGTAATTTATACACTCATACACAAAACATACACAATGTCAATAAAATAACAAACATTGGCATTAAATAAACAAGGTTAATATTGTGGAGTTCAAAAGTAGCAGAAGGGTAGGTACTATTACTAAACTGAGATGTTCTAAATAAGATGCTTTGAAACCTTTTACCAGGAGGGAGCTGTTTAAAAATACACTGCACTGGGTGTGAGCTGTCTGCATAAGAGAGATGGAAGTTCTAAACCAGTGATTTTAGAGGCAGTACACACCACTTTCTCTAGTTACTCTCTCTCATACTCTATCATACTACCATACCAGACACACATGTAGAAGATCAACACACTTTCCACAATAGCTCTGTAAAAGTATCATAAAGTCTACCTACCAGAGATTTACTAACATAACAAAAAGTGGAAGCCCTGGCTCGGCCAATCGTATCAGACCTCATTAAGTTATAAGCCAATAATATTAGATCTAGGGGAGGGTCTCTGGTTTTACTTGCTCTGCAAAGTAACATACGTCAACAACTGCTGAAGTTGAAGGCAGAATTTTGGTTAAAAGCTCACTAAGATAAACATTAGAGCTTACTGGAAATCTAGAATGTACAGAGTGTTACAGTACATAGTTACAGAGTGAAGATACCCAGCTACAATATGGATTTGTGGCAAATTATGGTCAGTATAGTCGGCTATCAGATTTTTATTCATTAGTCAGCTGACAAGCCAACGAGTTTAAGATTTTGAAGATACTTTATCCCTGCTGAGAAGACTAAATTATAATGTTACACAAAACCTGTTGGTAATTTGAATAAAATATTTTACACACACAGGTGAGGAGAGGAAGAGAAAGAAGCTGAAGGAGACAGACGAAACTGAAGTAGCACATCAGATGGAGGTTATTGATTAAGAAGAAAGTGAGTGAGAGTTGTTTAAGCTTTCCATTAAAATTTATGTTATATTTAATTGAACTTAACTGAGAAAATATGATTGTCACTATGGCCATGAAATTCTGTCTAGTTTGTTAAACATGCCTAAAAAGCAAAATTACACTCTTTCTGATTGTAAACTGAGACTGAACTGATCTATAACCTGTGAGTTTAAATGATATATTTAGGACCTTGCAGCTTATCTAAGAGAGAGGAGAGAGCATTGCCTGACTTCATTATCTTTGCTTGATCTGTGCCTGTTCTAAGTAGATGGATATGGTTTTGTCATACTAGCTCAGAACTAATTTGACCAAATCAGCCATCTTTGATACATTTTCTGGCTCTTCCTACTTTAAAAGTTTATAATGAACAGACATTTTGAGACCAAAAACTGTCCCAAGGGACAATGCCCCTAGAGCCCCCAAAGTACAGGACCCCTATCAATAAACCTGTAGTAACAATGATTTATTCAGGTTTAGTATAGACTGTCCAATGGAGTTTAACGTCAACCTGGAAACTTTAGGGGAGGAAGAGAAATATATAGAGGGGGACTTGCTCCTTCAGAGAAGCACAGCATTGTGAGGAAAATCTGAATGCATCCATCAAATGATAATAAATCCAAATTATTTTTCCAAATAATACATTTAAATCTTTTTTAGCACATAATAATTCAATATGTTTGTCGTATTATCTGAATTACTCAACATTTTTCACATAGTGAGAAGAGTCTGACTGCAGAGCCGCAGATTTACACCTCAGTTTCAGTCCAACAGTTTCAGGCCAGTGGAACGGTTATGCAGCAGGACAGCATGATTGTGCCATGTACACAAAGTCCTGATAGAAAAGTAGAGCATTATAAATGTTCCCATTCATATTTCAACCAGTGGCTGATCTGCTCACCAAATAAAGCAAAGCAAACAGAACCAATAAAAACAAAACCTACGCCTTCAGACAGACTTTTCAGTCCTTTTCAAAATAAGCTTTTCAGTTTCGTCCTCAGTCTCTTGTTGCTGCTGCTCGTCCCTTTCTCGCTCTTTTCCTTCTCAGCTCTTTTTAAAAAGCATGCCACACACTGTAAACCGGTTAAACCATAAGCCAAAACACATTACAAAACCATCAGAAACCAAAAGTAACACTCAATGGTTTCTATCGTTTTCAACAAGGATACATTAAAAACTAGTTTGTTTTAGTTCAAAGATTAATATTACACTCAGTTTCAGCTGCTTAAAGTAAAGTTTCATTTCTGCACATGTGAATTAAGTTTACACATATAGCCCTGGTATTATGGGTAAGTTAATTGAACTATATGTCTAGAAAACCCATTAGTTTACCCAGGCCACATCAGCTGTAGTTACAAAGTGAATCTCTATATGTGTTCAACCCAAAGTTTGTTTTAGCCTAAAGCTTAAATTATAATGTTAGCCCAACGCAAATTTATCACAAATTTATTGGGAACCCACATAAAATGATTAGCCTAAAATTTGCTAAGAAACACCAAAACAAGTGTCAGTGCATGCGCCGAATGCCACTGGCTTGAACCTGCTGGAGTGAACCTGCTGGAGTGAACCTGCTGGAGTGAAACTGCTGGAGTGAACCTGCGGCTCTGCAGCTCTGCAGACAGATATTAGACGTATAGTTGCTGTAAGCCTAATTTAAATGTGTGAGGCTTGTATTGTGTGGCTTGGCTAATTCATCTTTTAAATGTTTTTTGACACGTTTTGGTGCTTTTATCTTAAATTTCAATCAAGGTGTTGGTGGTGTATCAGGCGTAGCTGTGGAATTATTCACTCAACCTAGGCTATGGGTTTAATTAGCCAACTGTAGTTTGCCACTCAGACAGAGGTTACTAGAGGTTAACAATGTAAGCTGCACATTGCACAGAACTATATGGAACTATTGGGTTGAATTGAATGTGTCTCAAGTGAACACTTGTATTTGGATTCATAACAAAGGATAAGGAGTAGTGAAAGGTGTTTAGTTGAACAAAAGCTAATATTCTTTCCACAGATCTGAATGTATATGGACTGTTGGAGAACGGGTACAGGTTGAAGACTTCAGTGAGAGAAATCCCCTGGTGTAAAAGTCTTACTGATGTGTCTTTTCAGTAATTCAGCTACTTAATGTAGTTGTACTGTGTGTTAGGCTGCTGATGTATGAAATACATAGTTTGATCTATCAAAATTGATGTGAACTAACACAGCTCAAAGCTCTAAAGCTGAATTTCATGAGTGAGATGAGTTCAGTTCTGTCACTTTTATGAAAGCTTTTAGTTTTTCCCTATAACTCTTGCAGACTGGGCCTGGGAAATTGTTTCACGTTTTCACTTGAAACCTTGAATAAATTGATTTGAACTACACTGTTTTTTTAACAAACACAAATTAAATACAGTTGAATAAAGACAATGACACAGTTCTGACAATACCTGATTGTGTACAACAAACATGAATAAAACATGTAGCTGAAAAATTAAGATTGAAATAACAGACTAAATGATGTTGGAGTAACTTAATTTGAGTGTGTATTTTTCACTTTTACTGGACGAATGCAAATGCATTGAATTCAGTTAATGCAAACCATTCATGTGGAACCACTGTCCACAAATACATGAAGCCAACAGATTTTCAGATTTTTTTTCACTGCAAAATAGTTTAACTGGACAGGATGGCAGGTATACAACAAAACACATTTTCAGGAGCTTTGAACACATTGTGGGTGATTTCAGGAGCTCCTGTGTAGAACACACTGTGGATCACTTCAGGAAAATCTATATAGTGAACATGATTTCAGAAATATTAATATAGAGCTCAATGTGCACTATTTCAGGAGCGCTTATGTAGAATACAGTGCGCTTAAAGCTCAAGTCAACTGTTAGTCTCAGTGAGACATTTCAATTTCTGTCTGAAATTGAATCCTTATATTTGGTTAAAGGCTAATTTGAAATGTTCTTTATTGTGTTTTTTACAGCTGAATCTGATGAGCTGAATTAAACATAAGCAGTCACAGAAGCTGGAGCATGTAGCTGTGAGCTGAAGAGCAATTTGTATGTGTGTTTTTTTTACCTGGAAATAGGGTCAATTGTGTTTGCTGTCAGTAGGTGTGGTGTTAATAATAAGTCAGCTGTGATGCTTTTTCAGTTCAAGACTGAACCTTCAATCGCAAATAATTATCAAAATGCTGTCTTTTATTTGAATAAATTCAATTTCCTTCTCATACATATTTATTGTACGTACTGTGTGTAACATAAATATATATGGAATTGTAGCGAACACTGGCTGAAACTTTACCCCCAAGCTGAGTTGTTTACCTAACTTATCAACAACCCAAAAGTTAAGGGCCTTTTGGCTCCAGTGAGTCTGGAAAGGAAAGTGTAAATCTGTCAACTTAACACTCCCAACCCCAAACTCAGTCAAATTTATGGCTGAATCAAGAACCAGCACCCCTCTCCCTTGACCCAGGGGGCAACAGAACACCTCCCTGGAATACTGGCCACATGGCCCTCCAAAGTCCTTTGGGCAACTTTATCTTTAAGTAACAGAAAGTACATTTCTAAGGTATATGTCCACTCCAAACTGCAACAAACTGTTAGAACTCTTTTTAACTAAACTAGACATACCAAGAACGGAACTGATATGACAACCTGGACTGCAAATTTCAACTTTCTAAATTCCCTAGGGATCTCAAGCATGGACCCACAGCACCCCCAAGAAAACGAGAAAACGGGTGAAAACGAGAATTACCACATTACCACCGTAGGGACATGTGCTTATAAGAAACCCAAGAAACTTCTTGCTTTCTCGGCCACGAGACGCCTCCGCCCAATCACTGACGGAAGGGCGCGTGCCCGCACGGAGACGCAACGTCCACGAACAACGAGGAGATGAATCAACGCGTGAGCTCCAGCCTTTGATCGAGCCAGTCCTGAGACGACCCCTCCTGAAGTCAGCCCCCAACTCCCACGTAAGCTGGTTCCATCAATTTGCAGTCAGGGCCCTGATGCCATTTTATTTAATAAGAGAACTTTTAATAGGTACATCCAGCCATATAGTTATTCCTGTCCATACTTAGGTTAATTCTCTAGAGGCTCTTTCAAGTCGAGCGACTTCCCAAGAATCACACTGCCTCATACCATTTAGCTGTGAATCACGTCACTCAAGCTATTTTGTCCTTTTGACTTTCATTATCATTTTTGTTTTGTTTTGGGTTTTTTTGTTTTATTTTCTGTTGTTTATCATTGAAAGTAGTCCAAAAGTAGTTTGACATTTAGCCAATAAATTCCCTTCTACTGAAGCATCCTTGGTACAAGCGTTTCTCTCTCTTGCCCTGGTCTGTAGACTTCAAATAAATCCGGGTTACCCCACACCCTTATATAAGGTTCTAGCAATAATAACATTAAAAATTGCAAAACCCGTTACAGAATGTTCTACTGAATTAGTTCAAAGTGTACTGTCCGAGCCTGGGATTGATTCTGTGTTCTCCTGTCTCCTGTCTCTGCGACTTTCCTCTGGTTACACCAGTTTCCTCCTGTAGTCCAGGCCAGTTGGAGATAATAAATTGCCCCTAGGTGTGAGTGTGTATGAGATTGTATGTGTCTTTGTGTCTGCCCTGTGATGGACTGGCAACCTGTCTGGGGTGTTTCCTGCCTTCTGCCCAATGACCGCTGGAATAGGCTCCAACACCCCCACGAACCAGGAGGATAATTGGCTTAGATTGTAAATGAACGAATGAATGTACTGTCCCACAGTAAAAAATAAATGAATTAATAATTAAATAAACCTAATTAATTAATTAATTATTCAAATCTTAACTACTTACCTGGCTTATGTTATGATCTATTTAAACTCATTAACTAAGCTGAGTATAAGCTGAATAGGGTATTGGGAGGTGTCTGTCCTAAAGCCTAACTGCTAAATATACACTTGTTAAAATAATACACCAGTTTTTTTCAAAGTTTTTTTCAATGTTTTTTTATTGTCTTCAGTTGTTTTTTCAATGTTGTTTTTTTAACAATCTTTTTAATTTATTTTAAAGTTAAAAGATTTATCTTATTTATTATCATGAGTTTAATATTTCAAAATTAAATAACTTTTTACATTTGTACATTTTTGTCCCACATTTACGTATCACTTTCGAAACACTGAGTTTTAGTCCATAGGCAGAGTCTTGTTGTAACCAAACCCCTGCATTTTAGAGCGGAAAGACTGCACTGCTGTCCCTCATGTCCACATGGTGAGCAGTGAAATCCCATTATTTTGAAGTAAATATGTCCGTCTGAAAATCTCTATGGAACATTAAGAATTGTCACTACCAAAACACATATTTTCTGCAATTAACTAAACTCTTTTGTGTTTTAATGAAAAATATTATAATGTTATTATGATATTATGATGTGTACAACTACTCAAAGCTTTGTTTATTAGTCAAGGACTGGCTAACATTTTTAAAGTATGCTTAGCTAAAATTGTCACTACTGAAACAGTACTTACACTGTTTCAATAATATTTATAGTCTTTTAGTAGTGACAATTTTAGCCATTGTTTATATAATAAACTATATTTGGTAATTTTTTGGTAGTGTTATGATTGTTTTGGTAGTGACAAACTGGAATGTGCAATCATTTATTTTAATAAAATAAATCCAATTAAAGTATAAATTTTCTCAAAGCAAAAGGATTTTAGTCTAAAGTCCAGGTCAGTTAGTCCAAGATGTGTTTTCAACTTTGAACCAATTCGGTAGAATGATTCATATATATAATCTGATTCCTTTCTGTCTTGATTTTAGTTGACATCCATTTTGCTTAATTGTATATTATTTATTTTTTATTCCACAGTGAAAAGTGTCATTTTGAAAAGATATTTTGGTGCAATGAAATGTATTTATAGATTAAAACGGGGGCAACTTGTAATATTTGATTAAGTGAAAATGAATGTTTGTTTTTGTTTGTTTGTTTGTTTTTTAAAGATCTATGCCTCCATTACTGTATTTTTCTCATTCCCAGTTTTACTCTTTTATTTAGACACATGCAGATTTTGTTAAAATTTACTGGTGTTATTCTGTTCTGTCTGATATTGTTTTCCATAAATGTTGAGATAAATAAATGTAAAGGTTTCTCTTTTATGTGTCTAATTTGAATGTATGTTTGATTTACTGTAAATATCTTTATTGTCCTGATTATTGAGCTACTATTCAGAACCTGTAGGGGCTTTTCAGCACCATACACTCTCTAACAGAGTTGCCAGAGTGGGCTGTTTCACCCACACATGGAAAAACTAGCCTTTAGCATTATCCTAATTTTTAAGCTGTTTTTATATTTTGAATAATATAAATTCATGACACATACAACTTTGTAAGATGTTTCTCAGAGATACTTTGTGGTTAGTAGGCCCAGAAACTGTGTGGCAGAAAATAAACAATCAAAATAAAGCATGGTGACATCTCAACATCTGTTCATACAATTTGGAAACAACTCAGATTTTGATGTTTGAATCTGTTTAATTTGTTATTTTCAATTATTTACTATGTAGGCTACTTATTGTTTTGATACTGCTGTAATGAAACAGAACAACTGCCTTATTTTATTATCAGAGAAGAAATGTTTGTGTAAAATATGTTTGTATGTATACATACATATATATGATCGTTTTATGTTGGCAGTCTCTGTTTTTGTGACTTTTTCTCTTCTTGGCCACATTTAAATCTTTGTAATGAACAGAAGGTGATTTTACTACTTCAGCATTTACAGTTGTCAGCATTTATCAGCATGAAATAGAAATGTGAATAATTCAGCTTTTTTTCATAATTTATTTTTTTGATGCGTCTTTTTACTTTTCTTGTAAGCTGAAGGGGGTGTTCATATGATTTTTTTACTGCAAAATAAAATAAAATAAAATAAAATGTGTGTAGGATTTTGTGGAAAGTGTCAAGGTTTAATGTGGATACATGGCCTTGAATTGGGCCGTACAAGAAGCAAAGAGACTCCTGCCTGGTCTCCTACACACCTGATGCCAAACTTCCTTAGGAAACCACAGCTACAGCCTACAATAAATAACATATGCTACAGAAAGTAGCATGTAGTACATGTAGAAAAAAAAACAAAAAAAAAACTAGAGACAGGAGAACAGCCAAAATTCCCACCATAATTAAACATTAGGAGAGTGAAAGACTGCAGCAGCAGAAATGGTAAAAGCACAGCATCTGGTTTACAATGGCTAATACTTGAAATGGATAATAAATACATACTTGTCTATTTGTCTAACCAGGAAAAAGCTAAATACCTGCTGACTTTGGTGAGGTTGGTCAATATTTGCTTCACAGCTAAAACAACCTACTAACAAGCTAGTGATATTGATTTATTTATTCCAGTCTAACAGTGTAACTTACTGTTAGCATATTTTTTATCTAGAATGTTAGACGGAGGTTGCACCTAATCTTGAAAGCTGGCAAACATTAGCAGCAACACAGAGAGCATTTAGGTCAGTCATTCTATTAACCAAGGTGTTAATCCAGCATTCCAGATCCAGAACCTGTTCATGATCTTACAGCTTTGAAAGTGAGAAGCTGTGGAGCTCAAAGTCAAATAAGCTAACTTTTGTGTTCTTCATTGTAATTGTGTATACACACCGTTCATTACAGATTAATACCACTAGGAGTCAGTAGTTCAGTTTAAGGAGGAGCTCCTAGTGCAGAAGCGGGGATTATTTGAGAAGCATGTTTAGGTTCAGTGGCTGAGTGAGTATACAGAATACAGAATACTCTGATTTTATGTCTTCTAGCTGAATGTAGCCAAAAAGCTAAATGTGTTGTGCTTGATTTTTTAACAGTGTGAGATTAGACACATGTAGAGTGGAGCTAATTAAGAGTGCAGTCTAATTTGACTGATGTGATACAGAGAATACTGTCCATTGATATTTACCTACATATAAGGAAAGTTATATAGAACTTATTTAGGTGTTTTTAATAAAGTGACCAGACAGTGCACACTGAATTTGTGGTACAAGGATAGTTGGTCCAGTCTACTGTGCTGGGCTGGTCTGTCTGTCTAAACATGTGCCAAGCCATCCAAGGCCAACCATGACTGCAGGTTATGGCGACAGAATGCTGCTATAAGTATGGAACTGCAGCAGTGCATGAAAGACTGAGTAGTTAAAAAATCATAACAGAAGAGATCTTTGAATCGAACGCCTCAAAGGATTTTTTCTGAAGGAGACATTTTTCACGTCTATTCAACAAACAAATATATTGAATAGTTTCCATCACATCACCCTGCGGCAGCATTAAGACCAACAGTTATGCTGCTAGAATTTCTCCAGTTAGAGATGCCATCATTCCATGAGTTTTCCGTGACAGATTCAAGCATGTACACATTTAGTGTGTTTAAACTACATAGTTGCCAGAACCCCAATTACTGACAAAAATCGGGTAATGGCAGTCATGTCCAATGATTTCCAAAATGTGTTTATTTACATAAAACTATACGATTGGACTGTTAAAATAAGTGGGAGTTGTGCACAGCGTCAGGCTATAAATTAGACTAACAGTGCCTTGAAAAAACAGATCATAATTAACTATTGTTAACATTTTAGTAGGGCTATATGATAAATAACGTTTTACTGGATTTGTATACTCTTTGGTATTTCAGAACAAAAAAACCTGGATTCTCAAAAACAATAACATTCAAAGTTATTTTTAGTTCTCAGCTTTCTGTGTTAATCAATGTCTCAGTCCACACTGCCTGTACTAGACACATATTTTACATATGTCAAAACATGAGCTTTTCTCACCTGTCATGTTTTTATGCACTGAATCTATTTTTTTTTTCATATGAATGCAAATGAAGCATAAACTCCAAAGAGATCCAGTCACATCATGCACTCCCACTAGTGAGCTTGTGGGCTGGTACTTGCAGAGCAGCTTCTTGAAGGAGTGGCACTTAAGCTATACTTACAAGGTACTGATGTTTTGTGTCTGGCATGAACTTGGAGAAATGCCTACTGAGCTGTACACACAAGCAGCAAAATACAGGGGGACCTGGGAGGTCCAGGATTCCCTAATTAACCATTTGGATGCCCTGAAAGCCACAAAATCGAAATTTTAGGAGGTGGTGCTTAAAACATTAAGTTTGAAAGACAACGAACACCTATATAAGAATTCAGATAAAAAGTTGTTTTTTTTTTTACTCTGCTTTACCCACGAAATGGTGAAGTTCTGCTTTTATTGTTCTTAAATAACCAGTGCAACACTTGGTTGGCAACACTTTATTTTGAGTGGTCCTTTGTAGATGATTAATAAACTCTGTTATACACTGAGATAAATATCTTGAAGATGTTCTGTTTATACATTACTTAAATTAAGTAGACGTATTGTTGAGATGTTACATGAAGTAGACTTAATATGGCACTTCCATTAAGTGAAGCTTAACTTTACTCAGACTTACCCAAAACCTAATCCTAACCCTCACCCTGGTCTTAATCCTAACCCTAATAAGCGACGGATCGGAGCCGGGCAGAGACGCGGGGTTTTTTGCTGGATTGAGCTCTGGGTCTCGGGGGGTACGCCGGTGGAAGCCCAGCCACAGACCCGCATTTGACGGATGAAGACTCCCTTACCTGGTTGGCGATGGCGGTCCGTATCAGGCTCTCAGTTCCGTGTTCAACTTGGACAGCTGCTTCCTGTTGAACTGGAACACGTAGGGGCAGTCCTCCCTGCCGAAGTGCACCGACACTTCCATGAGGCCTTTGAGCCAGGCCACCTCCCGCGGGAGGAGAGCCAGGAAGGTGTTCCCATACGCCCGGTCGGTTTTGTGCTGATCCACCTGAAACAACAAAAAAAAACGAGGTGGGGCGGGTGAGGTTCCAGTCTATGCTCAAACCGAGAACCCCCCCCCCACCCCCGGGAAAAAGGAGACACGGAACCCGGAACAGGGGCCCCTTCTTACCTATATCATGGCCCGTTCCTGGGCGTCCATCTCCGCCTCCCGCACCTTGTCTTTCTGGAGGTTGGCCAAAACCACCGGCCAATGCCCGGTCAGTACGGCCAGATACCCAGCAAGATAGCCCTGCAGAAGCTTGAACAACTTGGCGCGGGGCTTTCTCCGGATCATAGCTGTGGAGAGTCGGAAAAAAAAAAAAGTCACCCGCGGGTGGTGCTTTAAAAAGAGCCGAGCTCAAGCTCTTGTTACTGGGCGTTTACTTACTGGTCAGCTTGGGGACCTTATACGAGGCGATGTGCATGAAG